GTCCTTGTCTGGCTGCTGAGCCTCAGTTCTACAGGATGTCAGATTTTAGCCTGCAGAAATGTCACCTGGGGAGCTTGTTAAGATGCATTATTTCAGGAGCCTCCTCCAAGAGACCCTGGCTCAGGAAGCTTGGCCCAGAGCCCCAGAACCTGCACATGAACAAACATCTCAGGTGACTCTCATTTGGTGGTCCGTGGACCATGTGTTGAGACACACTGTTTACATCTTGCCTCTGGGAAGGCCTCTGGCTTTCCCTAAAGAGACTCAGTCATTCCCTCCTTTCTATTCTGGCCTATCTCCCTTGCTAGCCTGTGCACCTCTTCTCTCCTGGCCTGTCACATCTTCCTTCATTGATTTTTCACAAATTCGTACGCGTGGAGGCTCTGTTGTCCTGGGCCAGAGGCTGGAGCTGCTCTTCCCCCGAGCCAGGTCTGAAGTGTGGGCTGGCACAGGGTCTAACCTTCCTCAGTGTGGGTGGCATGAATGGAGATTTTCCCTGCCATAGAAATGAGGGCTTTGGAACAAGTCAGACATTTTACCTTTTAAGTCCAAAGGTATCCAGATACACGTCTCCTTGTTGAAGCAGTTTATTTAGAAATCACTAAGCACAGTTGAATGGCCATTCTCCAATTTGTGAGATGGAAAGAAATTTGTTGACCTGTCACCGATGGCTTTTCTTCTTACCAAATGTTACCGGGACCTGTGGTTACTAGCCCTTTAACAGAAAATTGTTTAGTGAACATCAGTTTGAAAGACGTCATCTGCTTCCTATAAAAGCCTGCTCCTAATCTCCCTGGTGCAAGAATTGCTCCCTCAGGGGCCTTTTGGACACAAAACTGTATTTTTTTCTAAGTCAGTGCCTCTCAAACTTCTTAAACTGTGGCCCACAGGAAAAAAATACATGTTTCATTGCAACCCGTTACACACAACCTCACATGCGAAGCATGTTTCAAGAAACATTACTTAGCCTTATTCTTTGCAGTGCAGAGCGGTATTTTGTACTTTATTCTGTTGTATTCTATTCAATGCAAGTCGACTAGACTGGACTCTGCTGTACTCTATTCTACGCTATTCTACTCTGTTTTCTCTTCTGTTCAATTCACTTTAGAAGGCTGGCTCTGACCTGTAACTTTATTTCACAACATAATACATGTGTTTGAAAAACCCATGCACTAAATGTTACCAGGGTAAATGATAAGTTAGTTAAGTTCTATTCTGGGAGATGCAGCATTGATCTTTGAGTCCCACACTGTGTTGTGCCAATAAATAATGATTAGTGGTGACAGCTAACGCTTATCAGCCAGTCAAATGGCTATGCTGTCTGTATAAATTTCATTTCACCTCTGCAACAATCCCATGGGACAGGTGCTCTGATGGCGTCCTTTTCCAGAGGAGTACACGAGTATATGGAGGTGACGTGACTTGCCCAAGGCCACACAGCTAGTAAGTGATGGCATCAGTTTGTGAACCCAGGGCTGTCTGATCATGAAGCCTGGACTCTCACCTGCCCCTGCATTTGCCTCTTCCTTTGCCAGCAGCCACTTTAGTTGGCTCCAAGTGTTAGCACTGGGCTATGCGATGTGAAAGACGCAGAAAGAGGAAATTGGGAGATGGCATGCTGGGAAGCGATGGAGAAGAAATGTGAGAGAAGGCGGGGAGAGGGGAAGAGAGCAGTCTGTGAAGCCTGAGGTAAATCGTGGTCCTCAGAGCAGCTGGTATTTTGCCGAGCACCTAGAGAACCTGCAGTGTTTTTGCATCTCTGTTACAGTGGCTGCCTCCTCCTTAGAGCACCCACTGCATCTGGTATTTGTTATTGTACCTGCTGGACAATTATTTGTTTTTACATCTTCTCTGACCGGGGGTCATCATTTTGAGGCAAGAAATGATGGTTTGTACTTCTTGGCATACCAGGACCTGGCCCAAGGAGATGTCACCAGGGTTTGGTGACTAGTGAGTGTATGAGGACGTCCTTTAAGTTAATCCTCATAACTAGCCCATGAGTCATATTCCATCCTCATTCAGCATTTGGGGAAATTGAGCCCAAGATCACAAAGCTAGTGATGGAAGAGCCAGGTGAAGGGCCACCATCCCAGATGAAAAGGTGACTGTTATGTTTGCATGTGTTTGGTTTTTGCCTTCTGAAGATTAATTTTGTCTTCTTCCACCTCCTCCTGGGGATTTCTCCTCTTACCATCTGGATCTGGTTTTCTGTATTTGGGTCCCTTTTCTTTGTGTTGTTTGGGCAGGATGTAGCTGGACCAGAGAGTCATTAGGCCAGGAGTCTGGCCTGGAGTCTGGGCATCCAGGTTCAAGCTCTGGCCTGACACTGCTGAGCTTGGGGATCTTGGGAAGCCCACAGCTTCTCCCTGGGCTTGCCTGCAGTAGAGCTCAAAGGTCAGCACAGTTCCAGAGGACAGCAGATGCAACCTCATTCCCCAGGTGTTCCACCATGAGATGGGCAGCACTTGGTTGTGACTTTCTTCTTTTCACTTAGTCCCAGTGTGCTCCCATGCCACCCACATCTATTGCCCTGCAGCCGTCTGCGTCAGGTGTCTCTGTGAGTGGAGGGAGGCATGCACGGGCTGCTGGCCCCACCTCGGGTGCTGTCCAGCAGGCACAGCAGATTCACACACACCCACTGCAGACAAGGCAGACTTAGCTGAATGGCCAAGAGTCGCATTCATGTCAGAGCAGGCAGAAATGACATAGCATTTGGCAAATTCTTCTCTGCATTTTTGCTGACATTATCTCCCAGGAGTCCTCATACCACAGCCTCATTCTTAGAGTTGTGTATGGGAATGGAGTCATCTTTGAATTGTAAAAGGCAAAAATAAAAGGGACTAAAATATTTGACATATCATGAAGTTCTGTGATATTTTAGACTGTGAGTAAATTGTTATTTATATAACCTGGTATATTCATTTCCTGTGATCCACTCTCCCTTGAATGTTGACTTAATAACATGCCTGACTAAATGACGTTAATTGCTTTAAACTGCCAAATTAAAAAAAAAGAAAAAGCCAGCATTCATTCAACAAGTGTGGTGTGTTCACAGCCCAGGCTGGAGGCAGGGAGGAGTACAGCTGAGTTCTCTCTGGGGAGGGAAGGCTGAGATGTAGCCTGAGAGGCTCAGGAGAGGGGAAATGCACATCTCAGGAACACTGGCTGCTTGGGCCACTATAAGAAATGGAGTGAGGTTCTTGGAACCAGAAGCTGGCTGTGGGTTCGAATCCTGGCTCCACCAGTGGCCTAAAGCAGTTTCTTAGCTTCTCTACTTCCCATTTTCCTCTTCTTTAAATGATTGCTATTTCATTGGACTGTCATGAGGATTAAATTGGATCATGAATATAAAATCTATCTCAGTGTCTGACAGCTGTAGGAATTCAATGAATGACAGCAATCATTATTTTAATCTTGGCATCAAAGGTGAGACATCTCCTTGGGCCAGGTCCTGGCGTGCCATCATTTCTGGCCTCAAAAAGATGACCCCCGATCAGAGAAGGAGATGTGAAAACAAGTATTTATCCAGCAGGTATAATAGCAAATACCAGATGCAGTGGGTGCTCTAAGGAGGAGGCAGCCCCTGTAACAGAGATGCAAAAATGCTGCAGGTTCTCTAGGTGCTCAACAAAATACCAGATGCTCTGAGGACCACCATTCTCCCTGGGCTTCACAGACTTCCCTCTTCCCCTCTCCCTGCTTTCTCTCACATTGCCTCCCCATAGCTGCCTGGCATGCCACTCCCAAGCTTCCTCTACCTGGGCCTTTCACATTGCATAGCCCAGTGCTAACACTTGGGACCAACTGGAGTGACTGCTAGCCAAGGAAGAGGCAAATGCAAATGCAGGTGAGAATCCAGTCTTCGTGTTCACACAGCCCTGCGTTCACAGATCACCACTTACTAGCTGTGTGGCCTTAGGCAAGTTATATCAACTCCCTGAGTTGCGCACCCACCCCATGAGGTCAGTGGTACCGCCTCATCCAGAGAATGTTGGCTCCCTGGAGCAAGACCCTTGTCCGGTTGGTCCTAGGCTCTCAGTTGCTACTGCCTTCAGGTTTTTGGCTCTTGTAATAGTCTCTGTCAGAAAATATTTGTGGAATAAATGAATGAGTGAGTGTGGAGAATGAATGAACACTTTACCAGCTGAGAAAACTCAGGCTCAGAAAGGTCAGTGAGATCAAACGGGACAGAACAGAGGACTGCCTTGTTCTCAGCCATGACCATCCGCTAGTAGGGGCTCGTTAGCGCCTCTCTGTGGTGTTACCTAAATTTCCAAGAGAAACACCTGTGATCTACAGATAAAACCTGTGTGTGTGTGTGTGTGTGTGTGTGTGTGTGTGTGTGCGCGTGCGCGTGCGCCTGAGAAGATGTGTCATACTAGATGTGAAAATGTGTCATATTAGATGTAGACTCATGGTTGTTTAGAAACTAATTATTTGGTCAATTCTCATTCTTGGGTGAAATGGCACACTGGTAACTCTTCTCTGTTTCAGGAGAAAAGCTCCCTAAAAGCTCTTATGTTCTGAATTAACCACAGTGTCTCTCTAGGAAGTCGAAACAGTCAAGGCTCCATTCAAAGTGCTTTGTCTGGGACTTGGTAAGGGAAATTGTTCCATTGAGCTCCCTGTGTATGTATCATCTTTGCCTTGTTCATTGCAGCAGTGACCTAAACCTCCCAACCAACCTGTCCAAAACCTTCATTTTCCCAAGGCAGTGGGCTGTGAAACTTTACTGTTCATCTACTTTCTCAGGTCCTGTTTTGTGGGCAAGACTGCTGGGTTAAGAGAGGAAGAAAAGGAGAGGCAGAGGGGTGAAGTATGGAAAAGGGCACTTCCTGTTCTTTTTAAAAAAGTCCTTGAACTCAGCTATTGAATGGTGCAGTATAAATTTGAGAGATGATGGCTATTAATACTTTGCTTCTTGTGTAGCAGCTTTTAGTCCAGGATGTCAAAATACATCAATAACACATTCTTTTTCCATTTCTCCATTTCATGTGTAGGGAGGAACCTGAGAGCATCTCCAGAGAGAATGTTACTGCCTTGGTCGCTGGCAGAAGCATGGGAAAACCACCTGACCTTGATGATTTTATCCATCCATTCATTCAGCAAACATTTTTGCATCTTGGTACTCTGTCCAGATATCATGCCCACTCAGATTATAAGGACAAGCAAAGTAAGATTGCACCCTCATGGAGATTACAATCTAATGTGAGAATTGGTCATATCTCAAAGAATTAAACTAATGCATGCAAGTCTCCTTGCAATGCCATGAAAGAAGGAATGCTGATAGCTCATGACCTGAGGACCTGCTCTGGTCTGGGGTCAGAGGAGGCTTGCCAAGAGCATGGCATGATCCTCTACTGTGACCAGAAGGATGAGGAATTAATATGACAGAAAGGTGGAAGATGGGTATCTGGACCCTTTGTGATGCTTTCTTTCCTGTCCTGGCCCACCCTCACCCTGACTGCTCCTCCTCATGTGAGTTCTGGGACTTATCGTGTACATTCTTCTTGGCCTTTCATTCTCTTGCTTCTTCTGCCCCAAACTCCCTCCCTTGTCCCTATAGCAGCTTGTTGAATTCTCAGTCTTCCTGGCCTGATTCTTTAGTTCAGCAAAGAGCTTTTCAGCTCCTGCTATGCCAGGGGCTCAGTGCTGGGCTCTCAGTTGCTACTGCCTTCAGGAAGCCTTTTCCAACCTCCTCCGCGTTGTACGTCACTTTATTCATTATAGGTGACCTTGATTTGTAGTTACTGTCGTACTATTGTTGGGCCCTTTCCTCAGCTCCACAAGTGTTGGGAGGCTCTTTTCCCATCTTCGTTTTCTTTGTGTCTCCTTAGGGTAAAGCCTGATGATGGCAGAGGTGGTGATGATGATGATGATACACTACTACTTGTTGAACATTTAACATAAGACCTAACAGCATTCAGGATTCCTAAGACATACTACTTCACTAAATCCTCACAACCCTGTGAGCAAGCTACGGTATTACCATCCATATTTAACTGATGAAGAAGCTGAGGCATGGAATATGTTAATGAACTTTCCCAAAGCTACTTGGCTAGGAAGCGATAGAGCCAGGATTCCATGCTGAGCATTTTGACTCCAACCACTGTACTATACTTCCTTTCTTTCATGGCCTGCCTTTGTGGAGTTGTATCTGTGAAAATGGTCGTGCTAGTTAGTGACAGGTATGAGATATCTCTCTCCCTGAGCCTGCACAAGTACAACAACCCCGAGTGATAAGGAGTCACTAGCTAACGCTGGTCCTCCAAGTACAGTGAAAGCAGGCTGTGAGTAGGTTTCTTTGCTCCAGAATAGGTTCCCATCACAGGAACTAGGTAGCAAGGCTGAGGCACCCACTGGTTATGCCAGCAACAACTGCTTGGTTCTGGCCAAAGTCTTTTGTCCTAGTTGCTTTTCTTCCCAGGATTGAAGAAGCCTAGGAATTGTCATACATGTGGCTTCCTCTCAACAGAAATGCTGAGTTCATTTTTCCAAGTGTGGATTCTTTGTGTGATGGCACGAGCTTCAGAAGTGCCAGAGACAAGAATTTCCTTGTGTTCATGTATAAATGCTGGGTGACCGCTGGGAATAAATAATAACTATGATCAATGTGGAGCTTTTAAAATTATAAAGCATTGCCAATTCACTATGGAAAATTTTGGAAATATAGATAAGTAAAAAGGCAAGTAACAACAAACTGCTATCCCGTTATCCTGACCTTGTCATTATTAATATTTTTATGTATTTCTTTCAACCTTTCTTCCTTTGTTTATGTGTATTTATATTGGCATATATGTATATGTACTTTACATAAATGAGATCATATTGTATCAGCTATATTATAATGGCAAGATATTTTAAAGCAGATTCAGGCAGCACTGTAGGGACCACATAAAATAATTTTTTTTCATATGATAGATAAAATTCATCCTCTTCTTTGAAAATTTGGAATGTACCAGATGATACAAAAAGAAAAAAATTTCCAAATCTTATGATGCAAGAATATTCACATTAAAATTTTGTAGCATTTCTTTCAGTCTGCTGAAAACTGAAATCAGATTGTCAATATAAAGTTATTTTGCATTTTCCACCAGCTTTA